GGCCAAAATACGGGAAAAGATCATGTGGTGATTGCATGGTCAGTAAATAAGTCGGTTGGGCTCCAAAAAAATAACGCACCGACCATCGGACAGGGGCGGGGCCCACGAGCCCGACAGGGGATGGGTGACTCGCCGGAATGGGCAGTCAGAGGCGTTTCAAGTAGTATCAGAGCCTGGGAAGTCAAACTGGTTCTGTCTCATAAGACTGTCTTGGGGTTTGAGGGTTAAAGCTCACTGTAACGCCCTCGACTGCCCATTTCGGCGAGTCACCCATCCCTCTGTCGGGCTCGTGGGCCCCGCTCCTATCTAACGGTCGGTGCATTATTTTTCTCGGAGCCCAACCGACTTATTTACTGACCCTGCAATCACTACATGATTTTTCCCCGTGTTTTGGCCTCACTTACACGGTTTCGGAAATCACTTCTCGAAAGTTCACCCATCCTAGTCCTTCTCTAGCTCACGCACCCTTAACTGTGGAGTTCTCTCGGGACCAGTGACCAAAAAGATAAGTGCACTTTGGTAACATAGGTGGCCAAATCAATTCATTTAAACTTATTCAAATGGGATGGGCCCGAGTCGTTGCAATTCTCCCCCACTAAATGGGAATTCGTCCTCGAATTCTGATCCCGACAGTGCGAGCCTTAACCCCCAAACCCCAAGACAGTCTCCTGGGACAGAACCAGTTTGACTTCCCAGGCTCTGATACCACTTGTAACGCCCCTGACTACCCATTCCGACGAGTCACCCATCCCTCTGTCAAGCTCGTGGGCTCTGTCCCTGTCCGACGGTCGGTGCGTTATTTTTTCTGGAGCCCGACTGACTTATTTACTGACCCTGCAATCACCACATGATATTTCTCCGTGTTTTGGCCTCACTTACACGGTTTCGGAAATCACTTCCGAAAGGTAAAGGTAACCCATCCTAGTCCTTCTCCAGCTCAAGCACCCTTAACTGTGGAGTTCTCTTAGAACCAGTGACGGAAAAGATATGTACACTTTAGTAACATAGATAACCAAATCAATTCATTTAAATTTATTCAAATGGGCTGGACCCGGGTCGTTACATCATGCCTTATGTCATGTAGAACCAATATTTGACATCCAATCCTAGCCGCTTGATTCGTACGATTAAATCGAGACTCATCTATTTTTTTGGCTCAATTTTATCTTCAAAATCTAAAATTTACAAAGTCGGAAAATTTTGGAAAAGTCAATATATAAGCAACCTCCAACCAGCGATCTGTCAACCTGATTAAACCAATAATTTCATTTTTAAAAATTTAAATCCTTTTAATATAAGTAATTTCTGATTAAAATTTAGAGTTTTACCAATTGTTTTAAAATTTATTTAAACATTGAACTTCTTCTTCAGCTAATTGAAAATAAATTGTCTTCCAATTGGCAAAACAGTATGTCTCATTTCTTTTAACCTCTTTTTCTTTATTTCAAAATTTCTTTTTGTTTTAGTTGATCATCGATTTTAAATTTTAAGTATATCCCTTTCTCATGTTTGTATATCCTTTAAGAATTGATTATGTTCTAGTGAAATTTGTTTTTATTTTATTTTAATAAGTAATAAATCCAAAATAAACGAAAATTATGAAGAAATAGTAGTTGGAAACTGTTTTTAGTTTTTAATAACTTTTACTATTTTTTTTGGTTAAATTTGAATTAATTTCAATCATTCTAATATTTTGTTATTGGATATTCTATGTTTTGATATAGTATGAAAAAAAAAAATTTAAATTTATTTTTCTATTTTTAAAATTATATAATAAATATATAATATAAAAATTTATTAATTAATTGATTTATAGTCAACTTAAATGAATTTAGATAAATCCAAAAACCTAAAATCCCGATAATATTCCGTTTTGCTCTCCAAATCGAATTTCAAAATTCTGTGTGGAACATCATCACTCATTCACTCGTCCTCTTTCTTTCTTTTTTCGTTTCGATTATTATATTAATTGCTTCTCATTTTAGAGAGATTCGTCACGTCCAAGTATTTTCTGTGTCTCTCACTGTGACAAAGTTTCATGAACCATAAAAAAAAAATTTCCTAAACCCTACGGGTTGCATTTTAAAAACACGAAACCGACCAAAACAGTGTCGTTTACTGCGTTTTTATATTTATTGTTTTTTCTTCATAACTTTAAAAACGCATTTAAACTCCACAGTGCGTTTAATTTTTCCCAAAGATAAAAAAACAATTCTCAAAGATATTATGATATTATGGTAATTCTCAATGCAGTTTAATCTCCAATAGAATTAATTAGAACATCTCCAACCCTATATCAAATTTTATTTTAGAATAAAATGTACTCCAACCCTATTTCAATTACATAATTGTATAATGTTATTTTTTATTTCAAATATAGAATCACTTTATGTTGAATTCTATTTTGCAATTGAATTTTTTATTTATAAATTAGTCCCTCAAATTCTTAATATTTTTGTTTTAGAAGATAAATAATTATTTTGATAATAATTCCTTTTTTATTAATGATTATAAATATGAAAACATTCTAAATCTCTAAAATAAAATACAAATAACATTTATTAGTAGAAAAATATAATGACATAAACCATAATACATTTATTTTTTTGAAATTAATTAAATAAATTGGTTATTTTGTAAATTTTGAAAAATATATGTATAATTAAGAGTTAATAATAAAAAATATATTTAAAATTATTTTTTCAAATAAAAAATACAATCATACATTAGAGAAAAATCTAATTGCATTTTGGTATGAAAAATGCTATCATACATTGGAGATACTCTTAGTAAAGTGGTAAAAAAGATAGTACAGAAAAGTGATACCATATTTTTTTTATCTTGCCATCATCTTTTATTACTACTTCCTCTCTTCCTATAAATATTGATTTTCTAGATATATTTGTTCTACACAAATGATGTATTTATAATTAAATATTCATTATTTTTTATTTTAGGTGAAAAAACTTGAAACCCATCGTATTAAGAATATATAAAGTAATTATTACCACTTTCAAGTTTCAACTGTTATTATTTACAATATTATATTCTGATTTACTAAAAAATTAGGTAGCTGGCCCGTACATATGTGCATGTATGAAAATTTTAATAAAAATTAAGTAATAATAATATATATTATTTATAATAAATAAATAATTGACTTATTCAGCAATATATTTATAAAAAACTAATTTGTGAAAAAATTATTTAATAGCTTTGAGAAATTGTATATAACTAAAAATTAAATATACATAAAACTTAAAATATTTTAAAAGAACTGTAAAATAAAATAAAATAATTCTTCATTATTCTTTATTTTCAATTTTTTATTCATACTTTACATTTTTTATAGTTTTTTGTCTCATTATGTCACATTTTGTTATATTTCTGGTTTATAATTTTTGTTATATAATTGAAATACATTTACATATAATATAAACTTTTATTCTTTATATAAAGTGAAACAAGATAAGATGATAATAAAAATAAAATAAAAATCTCCTTCTAAAAATCTAATTTCGTAAATTTCACACAAACACTTGAACTTGTAAATATTTTGCTAAAAACTTATTTAAAATAAGATTCCAAAAAATTTTCATCAAAAAATCAATTTTGCAAAAACATTAATTAGTAACTTTTGCACCAAAAAATTACATCAAAAATATGATCCAAAAACATTTCATAAAAGAAATTTGCCAAAAACTTTACATTAAAAATGTGATTCCAAAAACTACCACTCAAAATTTTGATTTCATAAATTTCCTGCCAAATAAGTGAAAACGTAAATCTTCCGCCAAAAAACTTACTTAAAAGTATAATTTCAAAAAACTTCTATGAAAATCAGAAATCAGAAATTTTCCACCAAAAACATGAAATTGTAATTTTTCTACCAAAACATTTATTTTAGTGTATTTTAATTTGATTTCGTGACTTTTTGACAAATATTGTGAATCCATAAATTTTGTGCCAAAAATGTGATATCAAAAATATTTTGGCTAAATATGTTGCCACAAATTTTCTGCTAAATATTTTAAATCCGTAAATGTCTCTGACAATTTTTTGTGTTGAAATGTGATTTCAAATCTATTTGTCAAAAATATAATTTTATTTGAGTACTTAAATTTTGTATCAAAATCTTAACATCAAATTTTATTTATAGATTAAATAATGCTATGTCACAAGCTATGTGTACTAAAAACTGACATATCACAATTACATCATCATTACACATCATCATTTTCATGTCATATTGATATTGTTCAAACTAAACATATTAATCAATCAAATTAAAACAAATCAACAATTTTCATTAAACTACATTTTCAATTAATATGTTGAGTATTTCCCAGTTCAAAGGCATTCTACCTCTTATTTCATCGTGTGTTTTTGTAACAAGACATCTCTTACTTTCATCATAAATGAACAATTTAAATGTAATATTTTTTAACAGCAATTTGAATGTAATATTTAGGCAACACCAATCATCTAACCTGATTATCTTACAAAATATTTCCTCTGTTTTTATATATAAGATGTTTTAGAAAAAAAAAATTGTTTAAAATTAGTTGATGTGGTCAAATATTTATGTAAAAATTAATTATATTTTTGTTATTTAAACTCTTTGAATTCTGCATGTTATTTTGTTATCGGTTGAATTGTTTTGAAATTGATGATAAAATGTATTTTATTTTGAAAAAATACAAAATTAAATAACTTTTTAGTTTATATGTAAAAATATCATATACTATAAAACAACGGAGGGAGTAAGTCACTAATCGTCAACTATACTAATAGATTATCTTGCAAAAGATGTTCGAGTTAATTAACTTTAAGATAATTATCAGTATCGCGACCAATGTGCGGACACTGTTTGATAGAGAAACAACGTGGCACTGTCTGCTACAAGTCCACATCTCTTTCTCTCTCCATCTCTTGTTTGGTAGTGGACTGTGTTATTATTGGCACAGACCAAACCCACTTCTTTTCCCATTCACACATCTATTTTTTTTCTCTTGGAAATTGATGGGCAATAGGAAACACAATTTCAAATTCTCTCTCTCTCTCTCTCTCTCCTCTTCTCCTTCCAAAAGAATCATCTCTCTCCTCTTTTCTCTCTCCCCATTAGTAAAGACCTAAACTTTGTCTTCTTTACTTGCTGGGTTTAATCGCTTCTTAAATGAGGTTAGATTAGTTTTTCCCATTTAATTTAATTGCTTGTAGACTCGAGATTAGTCTAGTAGGTTTTGGTGGGCTATCACAAAGGGAAAAGAAAATTATAAAGATGAAGAAGTCAAAGTCAAAATTTTTAAAGGTTTGAACTTTTGAAGGAGATATTTTTCGTCATCTTCATGGTCTATAGCTTATGATTGATTAGCTTATGAGAAGCTAAAGCTATGATTATTTCTTTAATCAAATAGCTAGGGCTTTGGAGAGAGAGAGAGAACAAAAGAGATTAACGAAAGTTTTTAATCTTTGTTTAAGATAAAGTTAAAAAAAGATTAGGGTTTTCATTTCAGAAGCTCAAGAAGATGGAAGTAATTAGAGAGAAGAAAGATGAAGAAATGGAGATGGAAAGACGAAAAGCATCATCGAATCATCAAATCGTAGATCATCGTCTTGCTCCGTACACTTACACCCAAACCTCCGACAAAGAGAAACCCACCACCGAAAGAATCGGGTCGGATCCGGATCCGGATCTTGATACCAACCCAATTTCTATAGCTCCAGTTCCAAGGTCATACGCTAGGCCTCAAACTACTTCTCCAACGAGGAGAGTGAGATACAGAGAATGCCAAAGGAACCACGCGGCGAGCTCCGGCGGACATGTGGTCGACGGTTGCGGCGAGTTTATGTCATCCGGTGAAAAAGGCACGGCGGAGTCTCTTCTTTGCGCCGCCTGTGATTGTCATCGGAGCTTCCACAGAAAAGAAATCGACGGCATGTTCGTTGTCAAATTCAACAGCGCTAGCTTCGACCATTCACATAGACCAACCCTAAGCCGCCACGTGTCTCCGATCATGATGAGCTTTGGTGGTGGTGGTGGCGGCGGAGGAGGAAGAGATCCGGCGGAGTCATCGACGGAGGATCTCAACAAGCTCCATCAATCTTTTAGCGGTAATGCAATAGATCAGTTTCAATACCATCCGAAGAAACGGTTTAGGACAAAGTTTAATCAAGAACAGAAGGAGAAGATGATGGAGTTTGCTGAAAAGATTGGTTGGAGAATGAGTAAGCCTGAAGACGAAGAAGTGAATCGGTTTTGTCGTGAGATTAATGTGAAAAGACAAGTTTTTAAAGTTTGGATGCACAACAATAAGCAAGCATCCAAGAAGAAAGACATGTAAGAGACTTTTTATATATACTCTTTGTTCATCACTCCTTTTCTTAACTTGAAAGATGTTTTAAGTTAGATTCAGATTTATATAACAAATAAATATAAAAAAAAATTCCATTTTTAGAGCTCAGCATAACGTTCTCTTATCTCTCCAGCAACCTGAGAAGCCTTCTCCTTAGCGGTCTCATACGCATGTTTTGTAGATTCCTTGGCTTTACCGTACTTTTCACCGACCTTCTCCATGGATTCTTCGAATCCTTTGGATACTCCATCTTTAGATTTGTCTGATTTGTCTTTCATATACTCAACTGAACCATCCATCGCCTCTGTTGCTTTCTCTCTACCATACTTCATAGCTCGTTCGGCTTTATCAGCTGCAACGTCTTTAGCACTCTTCGAACTCTCTTTCGCTCTTTCATAAGCTTCACCGCTCTTGTCTGTCGCCATACGAATCACATCACCGCCTTTGTCATATCCAAACTCTTTTGCGTTTTGCGCCTTCTTGTAAGCAAACTCTTTAGCCTCACCAGCTTTCTCATAAGCCGTGTCCTTGGCACTGCCCATTTTCTCGTAAGCAACGCCTTTCGCATCACCCGCCTTATCATAAGCCATATCCTTCGCATCACCGGCCTTATCGTAACCAAAATCTCTCATACTCTTTGTACTTCGATAAGCAGCTCCAACCTTATCGTAAGCAAAATCCATCGCATCGCCCGCCTTATCATAAGCAAAATCCTTCGCGTGTCCCGCCTTCTCGTAAGCCATGTCCTTCGCATCACCCGCCTTCTCATAGGCCATGTCCTTTGCGGTTCCTGCTTTATCATAGGCAGTGTCCTTCGCATGTCCCGCATTCTCATAAGCTATGTCCTTTGCAGTTCCAGCTTTCTCATAGGCATATTCTTTCGCGTGTCCCGCCTTCTCGTAAGCGTAATCTTTGGCGTGTCCCGCCTTCTCGTAAGCGATGTCTTTCGCACTCTCTGCCGTATCATAAGCCATGTCCTTTGCGTAGCCAGCTTTCTCGTAAGCCATGTCTTTAGCATCACCGGCCTTGTGGTAAGCAAAGTCCTTAGCGTAACCTGCACTGTCATAAGCCGTGTCCTTGACATATTCAGCGGCTCGAGCCGCTTTTCCTTTTTTTTCTTTCTTCCTACCAATACCACTGGAAAATGAAGTAAAACGTTTCAATCTCTAGAACCTAAGTATGGCCAAATACGTCTATTATCTAAGGATTTAAGAATCGCAACGAGAGATTACTATTTACCAATCTCACATGATCAAAATTAGGGTACTTAAGAGAATTTGTAGACCGTACTGAATCAAACGTGATGGGTACGTAAACGACTGGTTGGGCCAGAAGTGGGGTTAGAGAAAAAACTACTTACGTGTTGATTTTGTCGGAAACCCAACCGGCCCATGAACCGGTCTTGTCTTTAGCGTCTTGAGCAGCCTCCGTCACCATTTTTTTCGCCGTTTCCGCCGTAGTCGTCTCTGCCCATTTCCCTAAACTACCCCTTTGCCACGTTAGCGCCACCACTACCACGAGCACTAACAAAGCCGTTCTTTTTCTCTCCATCATCTCTTTAACCAGTGATTACGGATCAAACTTCTTCGAATTTGCTTTGACCAATTCTTTCTTTCGTTTTTTTAATGGATTGATTCTAGTTCCAACTTCCAATGTCCTCGGAAGTTATAGTTATAGAGAGAGACAGGTTCTAAGGCCAAGACCAGAGGTCTTTCCGAGAAGCGGTTACTGTTCGCCACGTGGCTTAACGTGGCTACAAGGGTGCGGTTTTCTTGTAGAGCTTTCTCTGGGTGCTCGCCACGTGTCTTATGTTACAGGGATGCCCGCATTCCCCTCGCTGACCAAGGCTTTGGCGGTTCACATGTTTCTAAAGCGGTTTGCATTTAAATCTAACCCAATTCCAACTAAACCGAAATTGAACCGGTCTCTCAAAACAATGTCTCACTATTTCATTTTTCTTATAGAGAGAGTCAGAGAAATCGTACAACTCGATTCTACGGAAGACCGCCTTCAGTCGCAAGTCTGGCTCTCTGGTGGTGTTCTTGGATTTTATAATCCACAATCTCTTCGAAAAGCTGTGAATCCAAGACACAATCTGGTCGTCCGTACACCGCGGCTTGAACACCAGCCACAAGCTTAGCGATCTCACGACCAGAGAAACCTTCCGTCTTCTTCGCAGCCTCTCTGATCACTTGGTCGGTTAAGTCGCCTTCGACGGTTATCTTCTGTGACTGCTTCTTGAACAGATGGCTCCATCTAGTGTCTGTGTCTTTCTTGTCTTCACCAGTTAGGTACTTGCTGAGATAGAGTTTCAGGAGCTTGAAGCGTTCTTCCTCACCAGGGAGCGGAAACTCGATGACTTCGTCGATCCTGTCAGTCACTGCACTGTCGAGATCACCGGGTCTGTTTGTGGCCAGGACCAGAACTATGTCCCGTGACTGATCTCCGGTTCGAAACAGCAACGCGTTCAGAGCGCTGCGCTGAGCCTCGCTCATGTACGTGCTGTTACGTCTGCAACAAAACGATCAAGAATTTAATCAACTATTGAACACAACTCTGGAGATACCGTAAAAGTAACAATGAGCTTAAACCACGAACAAAATCTCTTTGGTAGGAGACTAATTGATGGATAATCCACACAGATCTTACACTCTGTTAGTAAGAAATTGCAATCCATCGATCTTACATTCTGTTGGTAAGAAATTGCAGTCCATTGCTTCAAACTATATTTTATATTATATGGTTCTAGTAACGTTATAAGCACTAGAATATTGAAAGGCTTTAAAAAAGAGGTGAAGAGAATCTTACTCGCATAGGAAAGCATCAGCTTCATCGATGAAAAGCAGTAAGCCTTTGTTTGATTTCTTAGCCCAATCAAATATCTGATGGATTTTTGTAACAGCCTGTGCACCCAGAGGAGCAACATCTCCTCCTGTCATCATAGCATAATCAAGACCCTGCACAGCAGAATGAAATCAAACATGTGTTATAAGGTGAGGCCGTATTGGATCAATCTATTATAAATTCATGCAGACAACTCGTGTTTGTAATAAAGAAACCATGATCATATAGGACCAAGGATGAGGAAATAAATAGCTCACCGACTTCCGAGCAATCTCTCTCGCCACCATAGTTTTACCGGTACCAGGAGGACCATAAAACATCATGTTGCGAAATGGCGCTTGATGGGACTTGGTATTCGCTGTGGCTCTAGCAAGATGCTCGATTCTCTTCTTTAGAGAAGGATGAAGAATTACATTATCAAGCGGCTTTTCTCCTTCTGCAGATGCGGCTGTGCCAAACCTAGAGATTCTGTTCTTAAACTGAGACACTGAGCCTGCCCACGGAAATCGACCCATGGAGGATTCTCGGATAAGTGATGGCTGCCCAAGTATACGGTTGATATAACCCCATGTAACCCTAGCACCCTCTCTGTTTTCATATAAAAGAACCATGTAAGAAACCTACAATAGGCTTCTTAAATCACAGCCCTGTATATATTTCTCAAAATGAGCAATGAAATAAGTAGTGCAATGAAATAAGTAGTTAAGAGATGCATACCGAGTTGTGTAAACCCCAGCAGCTAATGCTGTAGCTCCTCCAACAGTCATAATCAGCTTATTTCGGTCAGTTAATAGGGTCCTGACTCCCCCTGCCAAGTTCAATATATAAGCAAACGAATGTGAGGACACAGTTATCTAACGTTACTTAATTTCAGAACAGTAAAAACTAGAAAAATGAGAGAAACTAAGTATAACATAAAGTGTATATATCTCAGGAACGACGCTTATAAGATTCAAACCTTCAATGTGACTGAAGGTCGTGTTGATTGCTGCAAGCCATTTCTCCCTTTCACCGTTTATCCTATCCAGAAGCATTCTTCGGTTCTGCTCCTCGGTAAGTTTGGCTTCATGAGCTCTGCCTTCAGCTTCAGCCATGGCTTTGACGCGAATTGTTTCTCGCTCAAGTTCAGCTCTCTCTTTCTCAGTCTGCCGCTGCTGTGCTTGAATCTGTTCTTCAGTTGCGATCTTTGCTCTCTCCTTCCGGATAGAAGACTCCTCTTGCATCTTAACCAGCTCTACATTATGCCGTCTCTGAGCTTCATGATCTGCCTGCAAAAAATTTCCAGGCCAGAGACTTTCTCAGTATACGGACGATCCTTAAACTCTGTTAAACGTAGGTCTCACTGTTTCTTTCTCACCTGAAGTCGCTTCCTCGCTAACTCATCTTCGTATCGAAGATTCTGCGCTTTCGCTTGTGCCTGCTGCTGCACTAGATTTCTCTGATCCTCAGCCAATTTCCGCTGTCTTTCCTGCTCATTCAAAGCCCCCAAACACAATCAAATTTGTTGCAAATCAGAGAAACATCAAATCAAATTAAGCTCCAGCAAATCGCAAATCAGTTCAAATTTGCAGTATAAAGTTAACTCACGATGTCCTTGTTTGCTTGAACAGCGTCATTCCGCGCTTTCTCAGCCGCTAATTCAGCTAAACGAGTCTTCTCTTGCTTTCGCATTAGATCAAACACCTGGTGAACACAAGACGTGTAAGCAAAAGAAACGACTCAAGTCGAACAAAGAATATCCATTTGGAGCTCTCCGTGAGGAGATTGAGATTCATCACCTGTTTGGAATGAGGAGAACTGTTGATTTCTCGAAGAGCTTTAGCGCCTCTTTCCAAGGACTCGGGATCGAAACCAGATCCTTTAGGCTCATCGGGATCCGGTTTGGTCTCCGGTTTAGAGTCCGACGAAGACTGATCGGTTGGAGATTCAGACGGCGGGGACGAAGAGAAGAAGGGAAAGCGAAAGCGCGAGTCAGCGTAGGCGCGGTTCTGCGTCATCGACATTGAAGTGAAAGCAGCAGCTATCGCAGCCGCGGAGCATAATCGAGAAGCAGCCATTTGAATCCGACTATAACAAAAACAGCTTCCCCCAAATCCAATCGAGAAGTGGAAAAACCCTTAAAATTCAAACATTTTGGATCGAGAAAATATTTTGTTCGTGAAAATGGGGGACGCACGTCGGAGATGTTAAGGGTGCCGACTTTGATTCTGGTTTAGCTCCGGTGGCACGACCATAAACCCCACGGTGGCTAGGGATTAAATGGTATTTTTGATGTAATAATTATCCGTGTGTCCGTGCGAAATTGGTTCTCGGCTTGGAAAAGTAATCGAATCCATATATGGGCCCAAAATAAAAATAGGCCCATTGGAGGCCCGTTTTAAGCCCAGTTCTATTTACCTTGGGTCGTTTGTAAATAGAACAAGAAGAATAAACCACCGGCTCAATAAGGGCAGTTTCGTCAATTTTCAATTCTCAACGGCTATTGTAAGTTACCGCCAAATTTCGGCGCGTGTAGTTCACGCTGTTATTACTTAGGATTGCTCAGTTTTCAAATACAAAACAGAAGTTAGAACCGAGACTGTTACTATATGAACTCAAATTTGATTGGATTACATTAAGAATGGAATCGAGAGATCATCATTACATAGTTGGAAACAAAACAGAAATAAATAAAAACCCAATAAAATATTTATATATAAGCAATAACATATGCTTTTAATTTAATGTCTTCTTTTGGAAAATCATCAAGGCATAGGCATGTTTTTATTATTTTTTTTTTTATTTTTTTTTTTTGTCTTCAGAGGAATCTCAAAATGGCTTCAGTTAGTGTTACGGTACCTAGGTTGTGGATAGCGACCTGATTCAATGTCATTGACATCTCTAATGAGCAACTCGTAGTGTCTTCTTACCTCTTCAGCTGATTTGCCACCAACGGCTCTTGCAACGTTTTGCCAACGGTCAGGAGTGTCCTTGTCGTACGTAGCCAAAGCCACTTCGAACTGCTTGTCTTGTTTAGCTGTCCATGACGAGTTAGAGCTCCGAGTACTGCTCATTGAGTTTGAAGCCATTAGTGTTAAAATGTGCAAGTACGTGTGATGAGAAAGTTTGTGTGTTGTATATTGATGATGATGAAGAGAGTTGATTTGGTTTTTAGTTGAAGAGAGTGTGGAGCTCCTTATATGCAGGAGGAAAAAAGCATATAAGCCAGTTGTAGGAATATTATCTTTTGAAAGAAGAGATTTTTTAGAGTGACCCAATATTCTTTTAGCAACCACATAAATTTTAGTGTAGGGGACAATTTATTTTGATAGAAGCTTGACATGTAGAGCCGGCTCTGAGTCCAAGCAGATTAAACATGAGTTTGCGATCCTCATTTTTACATAAAAATTTTGTAAAAAAAAAAAACATCCCATTTAAAAAAAAAAAAAACAGCTCTATTTTTTTCTGTAAATTGCGACATTCACCATTTTTCTAAATCTCAGAGCTGGCTCTGTTGATATGATGATGATCATCATCATCATTAGAGTCTAGCCCCCTTAAAGGTTTAGTTAATAGTTAAGTGGAATGAGATTTTCTTGACCATTGTTATTGAAAACTATAGGATGCTTCCTTTTCTTGGTATAATCCGTACAGTAAACCAAAAAAAAAAATATATTGGACCCTCCCTTACCTCTTTCAGTATTTTGGATCTTATCATCATTATAGTCGAATTAAACCCTATCGTATCAGATACTACTCAAAAAGCATGTGATTGTTAAGCTTGTGTTTGATATCTTTTCTTGCTTGTGTGATTTTATTTAATATACTAATATTAACTAGAGTTCCTCTTTGCAGCAACTCGATTAGCGATTAGATGATATATGTCTTTTCGCTGATTATTAGCTCATGTCGAAGCCTTTATTTATTTCCCTTCAATCGCAGGACTGTGACAAGAAGAGAATATTGCCATTATTGGTCTCAAGCTTCTTGAGCAACTTCAGGCAATCTTACATTTACTGGTTTATATTGAGCATCTATCTATAGAAATAAAAGGACGATCTTTTCGTGAATATATTTATGTCCGATGCTTTAATTTAGCTAGTCGGTGTAGGCGTACGTCAGAACATGATTCCAATTATTAGACAATAAGACAAATCTCAGACGACACACAGTACTAAGATTTTTTGTACTTTGGCATAATCAGAGTTTTTTTAACCCTTTAATACCGTGGGTGCCACGGAATAATATTCTTTTGACAATGATATGTCCCTTATTTGTTAAAAACAAGTTAAGATAAGTTAATTGTTTTTTTGTGTGTGTGAAGCCTCTTCTAAGATAGTTCTTCTTAACGTTAGCTCTATGATCTCTTGTGGGTTATGTTCTTGCACAAACTTAATCGAAATGAGAAATGGGGAAAGCAACACATTTTTAGGAATATTCAGGTGTTCCTGTCTTCTTTTTTTCTCCTTTGAACATGGTTAAGAGAACAGATTCCAAATCTTGGGATCTTATCTTCGAGAGATCTTCTGCGCCTTTTCTACGCTTATTGTGTTTCTTTGTTTTAAACATTGTTCAATACTCAAATTCTTCAACTGCTGAGAAGTTATGGTCTAGAAACAAATTTGTGTTTATGAGAAATGAAACCCTTACACAAACAAAACGATCTTATTAATTTTTTATATATATATTTGAATGAATGTAAAATTGTATTTAATCAAAAACCTTCTTTACATCAAAGTGCTTCATTGTTTTGAGTTTAGAGAGTTGGATCTGTTTTAAATCAGTCTCTACATTATTATTATTCATTAACCTTATTAATTAATTTAATTACTGTTGTCAGCCAACATTATTTACGATTCAGAGACTATAGACAAACTGCATGTTAAGTCTGCATTGTAAATACGATCATGATACTAGCTACTAAGCTAGTGGAAGCACTAGATTACAAATAATGATTCTAGAACTAGTGTTCAAAAGAATAAACATTATTTTCTTTTTATTTACAAAATAAATGCTAAATATTGTGAACATTTTACTACGTATACCTCGTCGTGTGCCACTCGAACTGGCTATTGGTTATAACTCATTTTGGTTGTTGCCATTCGAATGGGCCAAATTCGTTATGATAAAGTAAGGTTTTTTATTTTATGTGATCAGATTCCAATCTTTACTTGATCCCTTTGAAAATGTCCCACATTCGACGTTGTGAAGATGCTCCCTCGTACTCGTCTGCCCACATGAAATTTTTAATATATATTTTTATATGGGAAAAAACTTGAATCATTGAATACATATAACATTATTTTACGTTAGATGTAAATAAATACCGGATACAAATTACAACTAAATAATTTATTTTGTGGGGAAAAAGCTTTACAAAACACTAAATATATACGTATATTTTTTTCATTTTTCTTAGAAATCAAAATAGTTTTGGGAACCTATGGAAAAGTCGGACTTATATGTACAATGGAATTGATATTTATTGTTAACACATACTCATATATGTAGTTTGGATTTTCTGTATAGAAAATCAAATGCATAAATGATAAAGCTGATAAAAGTAGATCGCTGGCTTTTTTTAATATGATGCAAAACTGTATCAATTATAACTTTTTTTTTTGTCAAACCAAAACTGTATTATAACCATTTGAACAGTTTGAGTTACAAAAAAGAAAAAAATATTTGAACAGTTTTTTTCTTTTTATATCATGACTGAAACCCTTGGAATCAAACACAGGTTTTAATGGTGGTGGCGCTATGATACTGACTCTCAGAGTGTGGTGGGCACAATAAGTTCTTCAACTTTTTTGGAAGTGCAAAGAAATTTGCATTAATTTATTACCATATCAGGTCCAGAATCCCATTTATTCCAAAGTCCAATCTTTTATATTTTTAAAATAAACTAATTCAATTTGTCCCGTGAGAGAAAGAGAATCATAGAAAACGGAATTGTTCGGATAAAGGAGATGAGTGTGTTTGTGTGTATTTTATAGAATTAACTCTTCTTTTTTTTTGTAAAAGTCTAATAAAATCTTGAATCTTAGTGTTTCTCCGGCTTTAATGAAGTTGTTCGAGGTGATTTTGCACCTTATAATAATCAAACGATTGTGGACAAAACTACTTGAATATTTTTAAGCCTTAAATCTTAAACTTTGTTTCCTACAAATTTTGTGTTTTATTATATGAACATAAAATACTTTAAATGGGGTTAATTAATTTCATAGAGACTATAGTTTTCTTCATGTCGATTCATTGGAACGAACCGTAAACCAACCGGACGAGTCATAGTGATGTTGCGCCAGCTGTAATCAGTCTCCACAATTGGACTTAGAAACAATTCACAGTTGGGTTTTGAAGAAATGGGCTTCCATGATATACGAAAATAAGAGTTTCGCTCTTTGCAAAATCAACAAAACAAGTTAACGAAAGCATTCATCACTTTATTGTCTTCAGCAAAATCTGGAACATAGTCTGTGGGATGATTCGTCTTGCATTAATCATTTTCTTGAATACTGAATCTGCTGTAGCATGCCAATGTAGAATGAGAGTGAAATAAATACTTAAAAGCTCATCAAACCTCTCGACCAGCTCTTATCATGACATCTTAAGATAGAACCCTTCACCTAAAGCTGAACGCATAAGATTACTTGTACCCACCAGAACATTGCAATCATACGTTGCATCTCATTGATTACGAGATGTAGAGAAATTGAATGCTTGAAATTTGTGTTTTTTTCAACAACAACAAAAATACCAATTTTGAAGTCATTTAAGGTTGACAATGTCATGTCTAGTTGGCTTATGTAATTTGTTTTATGTTTTTTTGTTATGTAAATATGCTAAAGTAATCTCAATGGAAAAAAAATATTTGATATAATAAATCACTGGCATAGTTAAGCTACTGGAAAAGAAAGAGGTTTGAGAAAGTTCATATTAAAATAAATTATCAAATTTTTAAATACCCCAACCAAAATAAAAGAATTGTGATTTGATATGTGATCCGGTCGGATCGTGGGTTTATTTCAGGCCATTAGTATTTGACGAGTTTTCTCGTATTAAAAAAACGTATAAAAATTCATTTTTTTAAAGTACAACCGGACCATGATACTGCTATATGGGTCGCAGGTTGACTGTCCGATTGGTTCAGTCCGTGTGTTTAAAACACTGCACATAGGAACATAACACTGTTATATTTTTGTTTCTAGATGCAAAAACTAGCTTAAAATACAAACAACATCCGGATGTTACACTTGATTCTAAAAAAAAAATGAACGGACCACACTCTAGTTAAAGATGTGTTTGAAATTTGGAACCGAGTAAAAAAAAAAATACTCAATATATAATCGAATATACGGTGTACAGAGAGGGACATAAGTGTATAGGAACCAACACTCTGATCAAAAGCAATGGTCTCCTACCTTCCAATCACTTATCTTCAAACCCATTATTTTTCTTTATCTATTGAATATATATATATATATATATTTTTATGTCCCTTTTAATTATTAACATGTCATGTTAAGAATTAATCTATAAAATATTCAATGGTTGGTGGTATACTGTTCATTGTTTGTTTGCTGTATCATGCATATTCAATGTTTTTATGGTCAATGTTTTCAATGACAAAATCTAAAACTTATAATTTTCACCCATTTATATAGAAAATGTAAATTTTCGTGTTGATGACATGTATATATATTTTAATATAATTTGCATCGAGAAAAAAATAATTTTTATTGGTGGGTATATAATGAAGAAACAGTATGAGTTTGTGCTTTATCACACTTTATGGCAGTCGTTGCAGCGTTGTTACATTGGTCACACTTTATGATGTCCATTACATATACTTGAAATGGTAACTTTTTTATTTTGGGTCAAATGGTAACTAAACATACTTCATATATATTTATATACAGTCATGTATCTTGAAGATGTGCTAACCAAATGTGAGGATGAAAGTCACAGGAACCATGTCCGTTTCGTATTACAAGAAGAATCCTGAAGACATTGCAGCGAGATTATATCTTGCTTTCTGATAAAAATCAGAAAATTCACCTAGAAGAAGCATAAAATACTCGCCGATGGT